AAAAAAAAAAAAAATGTTCCAGAATTAGAAGTGGTGATGGCTCTATGACTCTGTGAACACAATAAAAATCATTGAATTTTAAAAACTTGTGGTAAAATATACATAACCTAAAATTTATCATTTTAAGAATATTCAAGTGTGTGGCCCAGTGGCGTTAAGTACATTCACATTGTTGAGCAACCATCGCTACCATCCGTTTCCAGAACTCTTTTCATTTTGCAAAACTGAAACTCCATGTTCCATTAAATAATCACTCTCTATTCCCTCCTCTCCCAGTTCTGAATTTGACTTCTCTAGGCTCCTCATGTTAATGGACTTTGTGATTGGTTTATTTCACTGAGCATAATGTCCTCAAGTTCCATCCACGCTGGAGCATGTGCAAAATTTCCTTCCTTTTTCAGGCAAGATAATAGTATATAGATATATATATACATATATAAATATACAGATATAAGTTCTATATCTTTATCACATGTTGTTTATCCATTCATCTGTTGACAAACAGGTTTCTTCCACTTTTTGGCTATTGTGAATTATGCTGCTATGAACATGGGTGTTCAAATACCTTTTTTTTGAGACCCTGCTTTCAGTGCTTTGGGGCATATACCTAGAATGGAATTGCTGGGTCATATGGAAATTTTATTTTGAATTTTTGAGGAACTGCCATGCTGTTTTCCATACTGTTTATACCATTTTACCTTCCCACCAGCAGTGCACAAGGTTCTGGTTTTTCCACATCCTCACCTACATTTGTTATTCTCTGTTTAAATTACTTTTCTTATGATAGCCATCTTAATGTTTGTGAAATGGTATCTCCTTGTGGATTTTTTTTTTTTACACTTCACAAATTTGCATGTCATCCTTGTGCAGAGGCCATACTAATCTTCTCTGTATTGTTCCAATTTCAGTATAAATGGTGCTGAAGTGAGCACTCATTGTGCTTCCTTCCTTCCTTTCTTTTTAAAGATTTTACTTATTTATTTGAGAGAGAGTGAAAGCGATCACAGAGGCAGAGGGAGAAGCAGACTAGCCGCTGAGCTGAGAGCCTGATGCGGGGCTCGATCCCAGGGCCCTGAGATCATGACCTGAGCCAAAGGCAGAAACTTAACTGACTGAGCCACCCAGGCGCCCCCTCATTGTGGTTTCTATTTGCATTTTGAATTATTACTTTTAAAGGGTGAATTTTATAGTATGTGAATTTTATCCCAATTTAAAAAACTGTTCATTGAGAGACCCTTGTGCACTGAGCATACCTAATGTCCAGATCTTGGCTTCTAAGTAGACTTCTTCACTAAAAGAAACCCAATTTGGGGTAAAGAAAGTACAAGGTGAGCCTGGGACATTTCATTGTACCAGAAAGCAAGGAAGTGCTCAAACAATGATGGGGTATGTCTAAAGGACATTGGCCAAATTTGGGACACATTGAGCATCAAAAAAATGATGCTATACTTGATTGTAAATTATTGTATAAATAATAATCCATGAATTCATGGTAATAAAAAGGAGAGAAAGAGAGAAAACAATGATCCTTTATAGAAGAGTGCCAGCTAATAGATGTAAAAGGAACTGGAGAATTTAGAAATCACCATTTTGCAACTCCTAATGAAATTTGTTCAAGCAAGGATTTGGTAATAGATGCTACAACCATTAAGTGAACAGTTATTACAAAACTGGTATCATCTCCCAGATTACTTTTAATTGCAAATGGAAACATATACCTTTGCAATGGAGAAATCTGGCAATGGGGGCGCCTGGGTGGCTCAGTCTTTAAGCGTCTGCCTTCAGCTCAGGTCATGATCCCAGGGTCCTGGGATTGAGCTGGATCAAGCCAGATAGAGCTGGCGTCAGGGCTCCCTGCTCAGCGGGAAGCCTGCTTCTCCCTCTCCCACTCCCCCTGCTTGTGTTCCCTGTCCCGCTGTCTCTCTGTCAGATAAATAAATAAAATCTTAAAAAAAAAAAGAAATCTGGCAATGACTACTTTTTAAAAATTAATTAGTTAATTAATTTGAATAGTCTCTGCACTCAACACAGGGCTCAAACTCACAACTGCGAGATCAAGAGTCGCTCGCTCCACCGACTGAGCCAGCCAGGTGTCCCTGGCAATTGCTACTTTAAACACGTGATCAGTTTAACATCACGAATTGTAGAAAAACTTGACGCATGTCCTTCCTAATATGATGCAATAGTAAGTACACAACATCAACTATTATTCTTACTAAAATGTGTGGCCTGAACGTAATCAGGCTTCTCTAGACCCGATCTTCATTTTCCAGGAATTCAGGGGAGTGTGGGACAAGTTAAAGGACACCATGTAGAATATTCTACAAGGCACTTGATTTCAAATCTTTAAAAAGTCAAGGCCACAGAAAAAGGGAAACAAGCAACTGCAGCAAGGGACTGCTGTGGATTAAAAGACACTTAAGAGACCTAATTAAACAACAGCAACGAGAACAAAACATCACACCTGTTCAGTAAGGGTCTACTGCTGGCTGCGTGTAGATTTTGTAAATTGGTGCTAAAATTATGCAGGCACATTATTTATCATGCTTTAGTGATAACCTAAAATATTTATTATTAAAACTTGTTAACAAATGGAAATTTTTATTGCAAACCTCTTTCGTATCCCCTCCCCTATGGGAAAAGAAATCATAATCACAGAAATGGCTGTCCTTGAAAGCATATAATATAGCATGTGCTTCAAGATAGTTGTGTGATTTATCACTAAATCACAGATTCAGCCTGGAAGAAAATAGAAATGTATGGAACAATTTTTCATTTCACAGGGCATGCAAACCCCTTCCACCTGTTAATGTCATTAACTACAGTATGGGCCACTCCACAACACAATATTTCTAGACAAATGAAGCTTTTAAAATAGCACTGCCCAGTAGAAATATAATGTGAGCCACAAATGTGAACCCATATATAATTTTACATTTTTTAATAGTCATGTTAAAAAAGTGAAAAGAAATAGGTAAAATCAATTTTAACAATATATTTTATTTAACACAATATATTAAATCATCATTTCAATAAATCATTAATATAAAAATTATTAAAAAGGCATTTTACATTCTTTTATTGTACTGTTTTGAAATCTGGTATATAATTTACACTTCTAGTACATTTCACTTTGGACTAGCCACATTTAATATACTTACTAGTGGCTTATATGCTAGACCGTGCAGGTCTAAAGTAATAAATACTGAAATACTGAATCTAAATAGAATTGGTTTTAAGTGCTACAAACGAATGGTATCAAATACAAAATTTTCAAAAAATGAACTTTCCTCGTATCTACGTTTGATTTGCTTTTGCACTAGAATTTTTTTCAGGGAGAAAAAAATAAGCTGAAAAGAATTCGGTTTCCCTACCACGTGACCGACATTTTTGCATTTAGGGTAAAAGAGTGGAAATAACAGTTGGGGTAAAAAGAACCTCCAATTTTACACATATACATTCAAAATCATGAAACACTAAGTTAGCTTATAATGCAGTTTGCCATGAGTGTCTGAATGCAAGGGACATAAATGTTCCACATTCTCCCTTCAGACCAGCCTAAGCTTTTTTCCTTTTAGGCTCCTGCTACCCAGGCTTTAATGCACCCGCGTGCGGGCTGATAGAGGTTTCTCCCTGTTTCTTCTGCTCCGGAAGTTGTTGCAGCTCACAGACCTGTAGGTGCAGCTCCTCCCCTCTCATTGGGTCCCAGGCATCCTGGATGGAAGGTTTCTATTATCTGGCTTAACCCTGTCTTTCCACCTTGAATGCCATCTGCCTTCCCTCAGTGACGCAGGCTTGCCCCTGATGGTGCACTTTCTATCATGTCATTTCCCTCCGGGAAGACCTTCTCCCCTCCCTCTACCTGGCTAGGTAAGTGCTAGCCACCTTTCCCTGCCTCGTATAAATTTCATGTCTTCCAAGGAAGCTTCGCTATCTTGACTGTCAGCAAGCTACTCTCACCCCTTGTGCCCACACAGTCGCTGTCCACTGCCATTCGCTGTCTCGTGATTGTCCCCGTGTGTATCTTACCTTGCTTGTGAGCCTACAGGCCCAGATCACTGAGTCCTGCAGATTGCTGCCTCACACTCCCCTCAACACCCTGTGCGTGGGGCTGCACTGGGCACTCAGGTGTAGAACTGCCTTCCCGAGCCTTCTCCACAGTGTACAGATGCCTACAAAGTCCAAAGACATGCCTACGTCTTACACTTAAGACAAGTATGTGTGACACTGCAGCTCTTCCTACCAGGAGGGAGTCCCCATTTCCCCAGCCTTGAACCTGGGCTGGCCGGCTGACTCGCCTTGGCCGTTAGAATGAGGCAGAAGAGACAAAGTGCCAGTGAGGACCCGAGGCCTCCAAAGTAACCATGATCACTGTGGACACAGTGGGAGGAGAGAGGAGTCGGGTGTCTGGGCCCCCACATGGCAGTCTGGCTCTGCCTGTCATCAGGGAGGATACCTAGGGCAAGGCCTTTCACCTCCTGGGCCTCGGTTTCCCCCTCTACAAAATGGAAGAGATCCAACCAGGATAATGCTAAAGAGTCTTTTAGATCTTTATCATTTCATGCTCATGAAAACTATTTACACATATGTATTATGTACAGCCATTCTCACCCAACTGGATTACTGAGTTAAATTTTTGCCAACCATTGTGGAAGCGGAGAGTATCCTGTATGTGGAGCAGAATCGAGAGGTTGTGTTCACACAGGCTTAGCAATCACTGAAGTCCTAAACCATCTTAAACCATCTTTGAAAATAGTCTCTAAAATTAGTCACTAGTCTTTGCCAAGCGCTTGCATGTACCTTTGTCTCATTTCATTCTTGCAACCCTGCAAGATGGGTATCAGTTTCTTGTGACTTGGGGGGAAACAACCCTGTATAAGTTAAACAACTAGTGGTGGGTGAAGCTGCGATTTAGATCCCAGTCCTACCCAGAGTCCATGCCCTGCCCGCCAGGCTGCACTGTCTTGGCTCAAAATGAGACACAGAAGCTAATGTAACTACGTTCACGCATTCTAGTGTGAAGACAATCTAGTAAAACACTCTGTATTTTAACTGCATTTAAAGATTTTATGGATGGATGTATGTATTTGAAAGAGCGCACGTACGCATGTGTGCATGCGTCGGGGGAGGGGGAGAGGGAGCAAGAACCCCAAGCTGACTCTGAGCTAAGCAGAGGGGCCCAACAGGGAACTCGATTCCACCCCCCGAGATCATGACCTGAGCCAAAATCAAGAGTTGGATGCTTAACAGGCCCCCCAGGGGCCCCCAATCTAGTAAAACACTTTTAAAGCTAGTAATTTTTTTTAAATATATACTTTCATCCTTTTTCTTTCAGTGTTTGTGCCTAGGGGCAAGTCCACAGTTAGGTCCACAGTTAGGCCTTTCTGCTTAACCTCCATTTCTCTGGGACAGTTCTCCCAGCCAGAGCCCGTCATGGCAGGGACTCCCGTTTCCCGGAACAGCATTCACATTTAGAACGTGGACGTTATGTCGCGCTGAGATCATTATCTCTACTTACAAGGTACACTGACAAGAATGGAGGAAAAGTTGTTTTTGTTACAATTTTAAGCTTGCGGCCCTTTACTGGGCATCGGCGCTGATAGTGCATTGTTAATTAATAGCCTTACAATTCTTCTAGTTGTCTAATAAATAACAAAATGTAAACAATGGCATGTTTTGTATTTTTAAAAGGTCATATTCGTTACGTATGAACATTTAAAATATGCTCTAATTTTTGTAACTCTAGTTTGAAATTTCTGTATTTTATAATACAGACTTGATGAAAGGAAGAAATGGGCTATCTACTGAGAACAACAGTTTCCACTCACATGTGAGCCCTTCAGGGCACAGAGAACCCTAATCTGATAGGATGGCTGGTTTCATGTTCTTTCTAGAGAGGAACAGAACACACCTAATTTCCTCTAGCACCTAA